TGAACGTTTTGATCGACTGGCACTAGTGTTGCTAATCATATTACTATCCACACAAATTGATCCAGCGGAAGATGCTGCTTGATTGTCCACCATCACAGTTGGTTGGGCAGCGCCATTCTGTAAACTGATACTATTCATTCTGGAAGCCTTACTTTTACGACTTCTTTTGGTCAATAATTTTGAAAAAATATATTTACTATTCATTGGTCCGGAACGTATAGTTTTTTCATGTATCGATAATTGTTGACGAGCACGACGGCGACGACAAGTGAAGAATATCGACCATATTATCACCATGAATATCCATATTAGCATTATTATCACTAAAATTACCCAACATAAATCTTGACAAAAAATAATCCATTTGAGCCAGCAAATTACTATTACTATTCATATTACTATTACTATCAATATTACTTACAAGATTTTTTACAAGTTGTTTTTTTAGTGGGTTCACTGGGTTCAGTGGATTCACTGGGTTCAGTGGATTCACTGGGTTCAGTGGATTCAGTGGGTTTAGTGGGTTTAGTGGGTGTAATAAAACCGATACATTGGAAGAAAGAATCATACCTAATTTGTTGAAATGGATATATTTTTCTGTCATTATGATAGGCAGCTTCATCAAATACATAGACATAGGAATGACCAAATAGATAAAAGTTTCCATCAACAACAAAACCTGTCAATATTGGCCATTGAACAGGCTTCATACAATATGAAGGCTCATCTTCATCCCGAACTATGATGATATTGTTACCGGATTCATCAAAACAAATGACTGATTCATAACTAGTTTCAAGTAATTTATTGGAGATTTCCCTTATTCGTTTCTCACTATGCCAACGACTAATTCGAAGACTTGTTGTTTGTTGATGTATTATATAGAATAGGCATGGTTGGCTTGTTGAAAGTACAATTAAATCAGCTTCATTATAGTTCCATCCTTTTATTGCACCTCTATGCTTGATATCATAATTGAAGGCATTTTGAGTTTGAGTGTAATCAGTTGCTACACAAATCCAATCACTTTCTTGATCAAACATAAACCATACTAGCAAGTTGAATTTGTTAATAGCCTTATAAAATTGGAAAAATTGTGAATATTGAATGTCGAGTGGTTGGGGCCAGGTCATAAGATATAATTT